ATGAAATCAATCTTTTAACTTACATATCATCGTCAGGTTAAATCATTTTCATCTATTTTCCTCTTATCACTTTCTCCCATTCACTCATTTCGCACTATCACAGTTTTTGTTCAGTCATATTCATATTTTATTCTCACTGTCACGTGTACTCTATATCATCTTCTCTATTTTCACTCAGATTCACTCTCTTACATACATTTCTCGCTGTCACGTTCGGTCTCATTTGTATTTTCACTGTCAAAGTCATTATCACATTCCTCATGGCCACACTGACTCACAGCCTCATATTTTCTCACTGTCACTGCCATTATCACTGTTATATTTCTCATTCACCTTTTTAGCCACTGCTATTTCATCTCACTTATAAATATATTTTTATATACAGTCTCACCCTCACATTCACAAAGTCTTACATTTTCTTTCTCACTCAAATACATTTCTTGCACTAAGACACTCTCACATTTTCTCTCTCACTCATATACATTTTTCACACTAACAAACCCTCACATTTTCTCTCTCACACACTCACACATTCCTCACATTCTCTCTCTCATTCATATACATTTCTCACACTAACAAACCTTCACATTTTCTCTCTCACACACTCACACATCCCTCACATTCTCTCTCTCACTCATATACATCTCCCACACTAACAAACCCTCACATTTTCTCTCTCACTCATATACATTTCTCACACTAAACAAAACCCTCGCATTTTACCTCAGTCACCGCCACACGCACCGCCTCCCCTTCCCCGGTCCCTCCCACAGAAAACGGAACCTGGGACCCCCAAGACGCACCTACGCAATGTCTGGAGAGCACCGGGTGGTCGTCGGATAAAGAGGTTGTTCAATTGAGGACACTGTTGCAATTCCACACATCGACCTGTCGTACCCCTGCTCGTGGTGCATCCTGAAATCAATATGCAATGTGGATTTAAGAGTCTGATCGAGGTTTCCGAAACGGCACAACGGGTGGCATTCGTTCAGTCCCTAATGGCTAATAATGCCATTGGTTTGGTCCTGAATGACTTCCAAACGTCTCATTAGTGCCTTGAATTTAGTCCCTAATGATATCCAAGTGTCACTGATTTCGTCCACATCCAAACCGCTTAATAATGCCATTCATTCAGTCCCTAATGATACCCAAACGGCATAATTGCGTCATTTATTTAATCCCTAATATCCAAAAGGCTCAACAGTGCCATTAATTCAGTTGCTAATGATATCTGAACGGCTTAATAATGCCATTCTTTTCATGCTTAAAAGTGCCATTTAGTCCCAAATTATATCCCAACGCTAAATAGTGTCATGAATACAGTTCCTAATCATATCCAACTAGGATAATAGTGTAACTCATTAAGTCCCTAATTATACCCCAAAATGGCTTCCTACTGCCATTAATGTAATCCCTAATTATATCCAAATGCCATAACAGTGCCACTGACTCAATCTTGCACCGCTATCCAAACCATCTAATAGTGCCATTTACGATATTCAAAACGGCTAAAATAGTCCTATTAATTCAGTCCCTAATGATATCCAAAACGACTTAATAATGCAATTAATTCAGTCCCTAATGATATCCAAAACGACTTAATAATGCAATTAATTCAGTCCCTAATGATATCCAAAACGACTTAATAATGCAATTAATTCAGTCCCTAATGATGCAATTAATTCAGTCCCTAATGATATTCAAAACGGCTAAAATAGTCCAATTAATTCAGACCCTAACGATATCCAAAACGACTTCATAATGCAATTAATTCAACCCTTAATGCTACATATATATACATAAAAAACTCATAATTAACTTACTTTGAGCCTGGGAAGTGACGATCGACACCACCGCGGCTAAGGTAATGGCGGAGACCAAGACTTTCATCTGAAAAGCGGGAGAAATTAGCGAAAAGAAAGGAAAAGAAGCGGATAATTGTTTTCGCTCATGACAGGTGCGGCTTCCCTGGTCGTGGGGGGGGGGATCGTGGTTGTGCGCGCGCGCGTGTATGTGTATGTGCCTGCTTGCATGTCAGTCTGTCTTACTGTACGGCTTTGTTGCTACTTCTGTCTGTCTGTCTGTCTGTCTCTCACCCCCTATCTCTCTCTCTCTCTCTTACACACACACACGCACACTTCGTATGCGTGTGTGCGCGTGCGTGTTTCTTTATATCCCTACACTTTTTAGTGTTTAAAAGTCCCCAACGCAAGGACGGGGTAAACTCCCCCCCACCCCCTCCTTCCCTTCGTCCCGCCTTTTCTTCACCTTCTCTCAATCTTTCTCTTCCCTTCCTCCCTTCCATATTCTTCCTATTCTCCTCCTCTCCCCCATTTTATCTTCCCCTTGATCCCTCCCTCCCCTCTCTCTTTCCCCTCTCCCTCCACCCCCTCCCCTCTTCACCCCCTCGCCCCCCCCCCCTCTCCTCAACTACGGACTTTCCCCCGGCAACTAGTTCCGCCAGCGGGCTCCAACCCCGTTATAGAGAACTAAAGAGCGA